CTGACTCACAGCGCCCCTAGAGGACAGAGTGGAACTGCCCCACAGGGTGTCCAAGGCTGTCAATCTTCACAGAAGCAAAGCCCAAACCACACACACTGCCGTGGAGTCCATTCTGACCCACAGCGCCCCTAGAGGACAGAGTGGAATTGCCCCACAGGGTTTCCAAGGCTGTCCTCTTTAAGGCAGGGGACTGTGTCAGACTTGACTTCGAAGGAGCTGCTCTCTGCGTGTTCAAACAGCCAACCTTCAAGTTGGCAGCCCAGCACTTAACTGGCGCACCACCTGGGCTCCTTCTGCTATCACTGCCACCTTGCCAAGCAGTCAGCTGTGGTCACAGAGTTTCTTTCATTGGTTTGTAACTGTTGCATCTTGTAAAGAGGCACCTCGGAAGAAGGGTGGTTGACTCCACACAGGCACGTGGCAGGCATCATCCACTCTGCATCCTGGGATGCGGAGCCGGCCTCCGCAGGCCCAGGCACTCTGGCCCTGGATGTGTCCTCCCAGCCAGGCTCCCGTGAGCAAGGTGGGGTCCCGTCTCCATTGCTCTTTCTTCCACACACCCTTCCATTTCTCTCTCTGCTGCTGCAAACCTGGGCAACCGAGTCAGGAGAGTTACGCCAAGTCATAAGCAGGTCAGTGGTGTCACCAGCTCAAGGAAAAGCCTATTTCGTGTTCCTATAAAGGACTGACATAAACATTATGAACCCCTAGAGGGATGCTGGGGAGAGTCACCAAGTTCCCTCTTCCGAAATGATGAAATGAAGACCCAGGACAGGTATTGGGGGTCTCAGTCACCTCTGGTGCCCTGGAGCTGGGCACATAGTAGGTGCTGAATTAACTGAACAAAAGCAAAAGGGTGTCACCAAGACGTTCCGGGTGGAAACGAGGGAGTCATTTCGAACCGTTTCCTGGTGTTTGTGGTGAGGGAGGAAGGAAGAGTCTGGGAAGGGTGAGGACATTATCTATTTCTCTTAGAGTCGTCAGAGAAGAGACCTGCAGTGGTTACGGTGACAGTACTGTGACCAGTGAGTTATCTCAGTGAGTGGGTAACTAGTGAAGAAAGAAGCCAGCACGCCCAAGTCTTCTCATGAATCCGAGGCTGTCTAGACAAAGGAAGACGCACCCTTGAGTGTTAAGTATTACACAAATAACACATCCAAGTTCAGTCATCGATCAGTGTCACAAAGAGACAGACAGGGACCATTTGGGTACCGACGCGTTTTTTCCCAAATGGCTTCATGCATGGAGACAGACAGCCTCAGACCAGCCCTAGGGTGTGGACAAGTGGTGCCGAATGCCCCGGAGAAATGGTTTCTGTGGATAAAGAGACCACATCGCTGACTCCCTCCAGGGTGGAGGGACTTGGGGCTCTGTTCTCAAAGCCACTCAGGCACAGTCCTCCTGCCCAGGCTGTGTTGACGGGAGACCCATCTTTGGCCACGGCTGGGTTCATGCAGGAGCTAATTTAAGTGCTGGCTCCTGGAGGCCAGCTACAATCGTGCACGTCATCCCGGGTCAGGATTTTCTCAGATGGTTTTAAAATTTCAAATGATTAAGGATCTGGAACATCTATCTGCTGGTCTCTTATCCAAAGCAGGTAGAAAGACTGGTGGTGAAACAGAGAAGACTTTGTCCTTCAGCTGTTCGGAAATTATAAGGCGGCACACATCACCCCAAGGCCTCCTTTTTACTGGGTTCCAGCTCCACCACTGCGGGGAGGCTGTCTTTCTGAAACATTGTACTGCTAACATCTTTAAGTGGGTCGGAAATAGCAACAGAGAAGCCATCCTATTCCCATCTGCTAGTGACGATTTGCTCCAAACCTCACTTGTTTACGTTCAGAAAAGCATGCTATGATGTAGCCATCGTAAGAATTAAAAAAAAGAAATATTCAGTTCTCAGAACACCTCTGATACACGAAAAGGAGTTGTCTCAGGTTTCCATCATTAAGTACTTTTTTCCCCCTGAGACAATAATCCTCTAATGAAACAATTTCTAAGCACCATGACACCCTGTCACACCCCCTCGATAAAACGGCACTTCCCGAAATATTTAGATAAAGCCTGCAACAATCCAATCAACATACGGGCAGGTGAGGCAGCCGCAGAAACCTGCCTCCCTGCCCGGCTCTCCGGGGCCAGCTAACTTGCACATTTCACCGAGGAAAAACGGCTGCCAAATTGCGTTGCAGCCTTCACCCAGACAGGGACCGCGAGCTGCCTCCTCTGACATTTTGATTCTCCCAGCAGATGGAAGCAAGAAACTTCCCTGGTCAGGGACACAGCCGGCCTTTCAGGGGCTACCTGATCTTTCCTCCCACCCGACGCAACATCCAGCCAGACAACAGACAAGGGCTACTTTCTGCTACTCACTGTTGCTCCAGGATTTCAGTAAGTATTTGATGCTGATTTCAAAGAAGCCCGAGTCCTGCTGGCTGGCCATGTCTGCAGCATACAAAGAGGCTTGGAGGAGTGGGCCGGGGAGGAGCAGGGAGGGCGCTCCGAGAGGTGCCTGTCACCGGCTGGTGATGCGCGCGGGCGCTCAGGAAGGCCGCAGGTCCACGCCTGGCGCCTGCAGGGGGACCTCATTTAAAGGGGCCGGCGGAGCCCAGGGATGTTCGGCGCTCCTCTCCTCGGGGGAGCTTCTCATTCGCTGGGTGCAGATCTCCCTGCAGCTTCAGAGGCGGCGGCCTTCGTTCCCGGGCTGCCAAGAACAGGAATGCGTGCAGCCAGCCTCCTCCATGCTCCAGGCGGCCAGGTACGGTCCCCACGCGGCCCCACCTGCAAAGGGCTGCGAGCTGGCCCGGGAGGCGGGCTGTCTGGCTGGCCGCCTAGACCCGGTGCACGCAGCGCCCTGCCCACGGCTCGGTGCGCGCGCGCGCGGGGCCCGGGGGGCGGAGGGTGGGTGGCAGCGCCGCCTCTCTCCGGCCCACCCTCACCCCGAGCCGCCCCTGGACTAGTCTCCCCGCCTGAGGAGGAGGAACGCCACAGTCCCCGAGGGGCCCGGCCCCGCCGCGCGGAGGCCGGCGCACATCCTCCGTGCGCTCCTAGCGGCTGCCGCTTCCCCTTGGGTCTATCCCCGGAACGCACTCGCCTGCACCACGCTGCGGCGCGCAGGGCTGCGGCCGGGAGCCGGGTGCGGTGACGTTCGCCAGCGCCCAGCCAGCAGCCGCGCTGCAGCCGCGAGGCTCCGGGAGCCCCCGGCTCTCAGCGACACGGGCAAACGTGCGCTTTCAGTGTCTCCCTGCAAGGAGTGCGGTTAGTGCAGCGGGGAGACAGCAGAGCTGGAACCTGCTTATGGAATGCGGGGACCCACGAGGCCTCTGTGCCCCCAAACCCCCCATGGCTGACCGCCCGAAGCCCAACCCAGCTTCCCTTACTGAGTCCACTGGGTAACAGGCAAAGGCATTGACTTTGGCCAGTGCAATGTCTTTTTCCTGCAGGAATGCCTGGTATCAGATGTCCTGATTTCAACTAGCTCTGTCATCATTCAGCTTCGCTAGGGGCGGTTAGACAGGAGCCCTGAAGGCGGCACTGCAGAGTTCGGTAAGGTTGGTGGTTTGAACCTACCTAACGGCACCACGAGAGAAAGGCCTGGTGATCTGTTTCCGTAAAGATTAAAATCAAAATCCAAACCAGCGGCCATGGATCCATTCTGACTCACAGCGCCCCTAGAGGACAGAGTGGAACTGCCCCACAGGGTTTCCCAGGCTGTCAATCTTCATAGAAGCAAAGCCCAAACCACACCCACTGCCATGGAGTCCATTCTGACCCACAGCACCCCTAGAGGACAGAGTGGAACTGCCCCACAGGGTCTCCAAGGCTGTCAGTCTTCACAGAAGCAAAGCCCAAACCACACCCACTGCTGTGGAGTTGATTCTGACTCACAGCG